AGCACGTAGCTATTTATTACTAACATTGTTCTTCCGATGTCTAATTTCTTTTTAATTATAGGAAATGCATTTTCCTAAGATAATAAACTTTTGGGATTAACTCTATAGCCAATACATCCTTAAGTTGTCAGATCATATTATCAAGATTCACAACCACGTTTGATGAGAGGCGATCGGAAACGATGTTGAACTAGAAAATCGACGGTTAGAACGAAAGAATTGATGTTCATTATTGAAATAATTAACATATTCTGCGATTATTGTCCATCTCTGATCCAATTCTTCATTGAATTAAATATTATTATATATACAATAAGAAACTCTATGATATCCTTTTAAGCATTCTTTTTATTACATGGTCTTGTACATTTATTGTATAAATCCAAAAAAATTCTTGTGTGTTCATTATACGTATATTTAAATTAATTATCGTCTTTTTGATCTCGGATCGGGAAGTCGTCACGCGCGTGGGCGTTTGTAAAACTCATTGATATACAGAAGAAAGCCGTATCCTGAGAATCGCTATCTGTGGTATCCTCAGAATGGCTAACGACGAGTCGTTTGAGTCCTTCGACTCGTATATAACTAAATTTCTTCGGGAGGATACAGGGATTGTAAATAGATGTACTCTATGATTGCTGCTCGATTAAAATGTATTTAAACATGCATTTTATACAATTTCGTCTACGCTAAATCAGATGTCGGATGTGCGACTCCGTGTATAGGGTTTACAATTTAATACAAAATGGTCGATCGGAGTGCGAAGATGCCCTGGCTCGATGTGTTGACCGTCAGGCACACTTCGATTACTTTCTCTAGAACGGTGTAGAACGAACTCAAGAGACGTCCACCCAGAGAGCAAACGCTTCCGATGTCCATTTGTGCTCCAACGGATCCCGACGCTTGCCATTGCACGCCACCGGTAGCACTTGCGGATATTCCACCGGTAGACTCACTAAAAATATGATCGCACGTTATCAAGCTCGGCCGCGAATTTAATGTTAAATACTGTCAATACGTTGCACGTTGACGGCAAGAAATATTCCCTGATACTTACAAATCTCTGGCGAAGCTGACCCAGATTCCGACCATCTTCTCGCGCCATTGATTCAGGGTATTCGAGGCGCTGGCAGAGAATGCTACTTCGTGACCAAACAACACGCTAACGTCTTGGCTCAACTGAGCACCGGCTACAAATTTCAACGAATGAGATCGGATAGTTTCCTAATCGGAAGAAATCGTGAGCCTGACGATACGTACCGCTCACGCTACTGTCGTAGAGTTCGTGTAAGTTGTCCTCGGTTTCGAGAGATAAACGATAATAAAAGACGGGGATGTCTTGCATGATGTTGACGAAGTACCTTTGCATGAGGTCGACCGAGCAGGAGAAGTAATAGGCGACGGATGTCTAGAAAATGTACATCGAATCGTTTCTCATTTCTTGAAGAATACGAACAGATTGAACGCGAATGGAAATTAATTAAAGAATAAAAAGAAACCTCAATGGTATGTTCCTGTTGAACTGCATTGATCAACAGGTCCACGAAATTCCTGAGCGCGAAATCGATTATTCCTGGGAGTATGTTACTGACATATTGCAGAGACGACGTAATCGAGGTTTTAAGAACATCGACACCTGCTAATGCAAAAAAGTATTGTAGAACATGCATTACGATCGGCACTCATAGTACGTGGTGACGTCGAGTTTAGTTGGATCGTACCTGTGTTGAGGACGAAAGCCTCGTTCTTGTTGAAACCGATCATGCTCGGGCAACTGTTGAGGTTTCCGCCTTGAAGTAATTCGATGGGAGAAGCGGTCAACCAGTCTTCTACCGTAACTGTGAATTTAAGAGCGAGCGGACCCTATACGGCGAACAAATGTACAATACGATTACAACTTCGTTCGACTGGTCCGTGAAACTGGAGAGAGACATGAAAATAAATGTTCGAGTACCAGCAAGTAATTGTCGGTCGCATGAATTTTGTTCAACAGATCCGCAGCCGAAACTCCTTGCAATTGTGTTAAAAGCTGCTCGTGATCGTAAGCGGAGAAGCCGAAGAGAGCACCGACGCCTTCCGACTGTTGAATGGCATCGTTGCGTTTCTTGAACGCCCATGGGCAGAGAGGCGAGCCACTGTGATGAATGGTTTTGTGGAAGAGACCCTTCGATTGAGGCAAGAGCATGTGGTAGCCGACGTGAGCACTGCTTGTGCCCTCTCCGAACAGAGTTACTCTGCCAGCATCGCCACCAAATTTCTCGATGTTCTTTTGAACCCATTTCAAAGCCAAGTTCTGATCCTTCAGACCAGCGTTACCCTTCGCGCCTTCAGCGTTCAGTGCCAAGTATCCTGAATGAATAAGAATAAATACGAATTTAATTCGAAATTCGTAAATGAAACACGAGCTATTGCGAACGATTCTTACCCAATGCGTCCAAACGATGGGCGACTTTAACCACGACCATGTCTTTCTCGACGAAGAACTCGTGAGCAAGTTGGTCGTGGACTCCGTATCCGGTCATGAGTCCGGCATCGTAGATCCATACCAAAACTGCTTTCTTCTCAACGATGTTACTGAGATCCGTCTTTAAAGGATGAGCAACGGATTACGATTGGTCAATCATAAAAAATGGAACGGACTACTTGAAAAAGAATAATTGCTTACCACGGGAGAGTGGACGTCTACGTAGAGACAGTCTTCGTCTCCGTAGGTTGAATTGCCGACGCGTTGGAGGCACACGGGTTTCGGCTTAGTGCAGTCCATCACGTGGGTCCATGCCTCAGCTTCTTGAGATTCCTACGATTTCTCATCTCAGTTTATATCCAGCGTAAAAAATTGAAGATAAAAACGACTAAAACGAAGAATCGCAGATCTCACCTTGAATCGAAGATTGCCCACCGGCGGTTTCGCATAAGGAATGCCCTGGAAGCTAGAGTACTTGACGGAACTTTTTACAGAGACGTTGATCGAACCTTGGATCTGTCCCTTCTCAGTCGCGACAATCTGCGACTGTACGCAGTTCGCAACTGCGAGGATCGCGACACCGAAAATGAACAGACTCTTCATTTTGACTGAACGAATCGTTTCTGTAGTTCGATCGTGTCGCGAATCAGTTTATATAGAAGGCAACGACGTGTTGTTAGGACATAAAACAAACATAGACCATCGTTTTATTGTTGACACGAAAACTCGTTAATTTAAAAAAAACGCGCTTTCGCTAATTGCCATTTCGTTTGGTACGATCAATCTTCCCTGTCCCTGTCAACTATCAGTAGCACATCCATGTTTGCCGATGGCCGATATGTCATGCAGTACAATAATATAATATTAACGTTAAATCATTTAATTGTTAGGTTTCTGTAATATATTGCATTACTCTATAATTTATTCGAAGTTTAATACAATTTCTAATAGCAGATGCCCATTGGTTTCAACGTAAAATAATGGTCTCGCGGAAGAAGTTATATTTCGTGTCTACTGTTGTTTAAATTATTATCAATTTGCAAATATTTCAGAGCCTAGTGAAAAGCTAGTAAAGTGTCGGAAGTTTTCATCGCATACTCTTACATCTCTTTTTGCTGAGTTTTAATTCGGTTTCATCGGCGATGCTCGACTCTCGCTGCGATCTTTTCATAAGTTCAATACCCGCGCTCTCTTATTGTCAGCCAACGCGTCGAAGGGTATCGAAATTGCTACTTTAGAATCTAAGAGGTAATACGTGATCGCCTCTATAGGTTCTCTTGGTGATGCTCGGAACGGGACGACGCGGGGCAACGCCGTCGATTGCCCACGCGTGGGTATTAGATAACGCGAACATATCCAAACCGCTGTTCCGAGGGTGTGAACGTTCCCATGCTCAAGATGTCTTACTAACCCGTTCTCCTAGGCTAGGCAGGTCGTTTTAACTAGGTTTTACGCTCTAAAATAAAAGCATTTGGAATCTTACAGGAAGGGATACCGATGGGGAGGAAGAAATGTACACCGGTATGGTTAATACGTCTTTTTCTACGTGTCTATTTATTATGAAAATATAATACAAAACATCCTATGTTGTATTACATAGATAACAATGCTCAATTAACGTTTTATTACCTTTTGTCTTGTAACGTTACCATCCGACACTGCGAGAAGCACGTCGGGATAAGTAAACTTCTCGTGTTCTTTTATTCCGTGTTCTTCCTTCGTCCGCGTCGTTTTTTTTTTTTTCTCATATTTTTCTTTTAAACGTTTCCCCTGCAATTTTTCGCTTCGTTCGGAGGAAAAAGCCCGATAATTACGGAGAGAGAAAAGATACATATGTGCGTAACGCACGAGAGACGTTACGGAGTGAAAATTACGAAGAGCAACGGAACGGAGGAACGAAAGTCCGGTCTGGATGATTTTTCTCCTTTTCGCATTTTTCTCGTTTACAAAAAAAGAAGGTCGCTCGTTCGAACGAATTGTATAGGAACAGGAATGAAGGTTGCGTGAGGTTGTGTGGAGAGTTCGTCTTCCGTATCCTTTCTTTCTTTCGTTGTTCGGTACTTTTCTCGTTTGCTTTTTGGTTTCGGTTTTGTTCGTATCCTGGGTGCGGGCACGGTGCGGGTCCAGGAACAAGGAAGAGTTCAGGGAAACGGGACTGTCTCTTTCTTTTGTTTCGCGCGTCGATGCACACAAATCGGAGTTTTGTATTAGCGTCTAGTTTACAAATAATACAAATGTATGTAAATATCGTTATTATTATAATAATAGGTTTCCTCTTAGCGAGAAATAAGCTTAAAAGCTAAATTCATCTAGCGTTCACTATCGTTTTTTTTTTTTTGGTTTTTTTTCACACCATGCTAATGCTACGTGTTCCATGTGGTACCCGTGAACAGCCGTTTCGTGGTCTGGCAAACGCGTTCGTCGACGATCTATCGAACGAAAGTGTTTAATATTCGGGTGCTGGTACGCGTTAACGTATGCGAGTAGGGAAGAAATCGAAAAGACACGTTTCATCTTTCCGTTGCGCTCGAACGATGACACAGCTTCGCTCGAAATTGAATTTGAGGCGAGTTTGGCAGGTTTCTTGATATAAGGAAAATTAAACACCGGATGTTTAACTCTGAATCTGGGAAAATAATTCATCGTGCAGAGACGCAAAAATAAATGCGAGCGATGAATAAAACCGAAAGGCCGCCAAACGAGGACGGAACGCGAAACAAATTGGGAAGTAAGACGTAAGGTAATTAAACAGGAGCGAAGGATATCGGAAAAGCACGGCGCTGCGTTGGGTAAAAGGTGTAAAAAGGGCGAGTTCGTAATTGAAGATCGAAGAGAGAAGAAAGATGAAAAGGTTTCGAGATAGGATTTTTTTTTTTTACCCTCCGCGGAACAATGTATTGTCAATTGTCGTTTCGAATCGTTTCGAATCGTTCCTCGATTTCTCGAACAAGATAGAGCGAGCTCAGCTGTCACAGGCACCGAGTGAAATACATTAGCGACTCTACGTGTAACTCTATGTATATCGCTACCGTTTTTTTGTTATTTTTATTTTATTTCAATTAAATTTAGGCCAGATTCGAACCGGTTGAATCGACGAGATCGCCGCGTCGCCTCGCGCGCAGGCTGCGATTGCGGGAATAAGCAAAGAATAGGACGCGACGCGCTTGGCTCGCGGAGAGCTCGAACGGCTCGAACCGTGGCCGAGATGGTCGACCTAGGCGATTAGAGTCATCTACGTAAATGCTAAGTACGATTAGCACTACGGTCGGAATAAATTAACGACCATACATATTTCTCTTTTATGCGATTAGAAATTAGAAGCACGCGCGAACCTCCGCGTGTCCGTGTCGTGTACGTGTACGTGGATGGGTGTCCATACGCGCGCGCGCGTGCGTACGCACGTCGTTCGAATCGTGTAAGTGTAAGTGTAAGTGTCTGCACAAGTGTTCCTCCTCCGCGGTTAATTTTAGTATCGTTTTTATCTTTAGTACCTTTAATCTCGTTAATTACTTTTTTTAACTCTATATTGCTCTTTGTATTGCTTCGGCGGCAGTATAGCCCTACGTAGTCATGCAAGGTATAATTCTATTTTATTATTAGTATTATTATTTTCTTCCTCCCGTTAGTAGACGTAGATACGATGCGACTGGTACCTCTGGCTCCTCCTCCTCCTCGCTGAGCGACGATCGCGATCGTCCGAGTTACATCGACAACGACAGCGATCGCGATCGCGAGTGGACGAACGAAAAACGAAAGCTACGGCAACGAAACGCGTTGATCGATGATCAACGACGGGACAGGGATGTAGCCAGAGTCGCGGCTCTTCTAAATTCTAAATTCTAAATCGATGTTGCCGAACGATACTCGTAGTCGAAGCGGTAAATTATTATCGACACCAGCTGAGCGGTACGCGTCGTATCGGATTCGCTATAATTTCATCGGTAATACCCGTGCAATACCGTTCCGTCAACGTATCTATAGAAATATATGTTATGTATGAATGTATCGTTAAGTCAATAGTTAACCTCGCGTTCCGTGTGTACACCGTTTCGTTTCTTAAGTAAAAGCTATAAAATATGGATACGTGCGCAAGTGTATTTTTTTGCGTTTCGCTTTTTTACTTTCTACATGCTCTCTCTCTCTCTTTCTTTTTTTTCATTTTTTTTTTTATTATTTTCCACTCACACACGCTCAATATTTTCTCTCGTCCTCGCTCCACCTCTACGGCGAAACGGAGGATCGCTATAATAATTACTCTCGCTCTCTATTTCGTCGTATCTGTACCGCTATTCTCTTCGAACTCCGAAAGTTCGAATATTATAATATATATATATACATATATGTGTGTATATATATATTATATTATATTTTTCATGTATATATATATATAATAGATTTATGTATATCAATGTAACCAGTGGCGGGCGATTGCTCGCGCTTCGATCGTACGATAATTACGTTAGAAAAGCCATCGTTGCTAGTCAAGTGTGGCGCGTCTTGTATCTTCTTCGCCTACGTTTACGCTACTTCTACCGTTTCTCGCTCGCGCTCCCAACTTTCCATTCTCGTCTATTGATACTTGGCTCGTTACTCGTTACCAGCAAGATTCTATGCTGCGCGTATGCATGTAATTCCGCATCAGTTCCCAACTCTAATTATCACTGTTCAAAATTCATCGACCCGATCGCTTTGTCTCGCCTGTACCATTATTACTATTGTTACTATTATTATTATTATTACTATTATTATTAATATTATTATTAGATAGTATCGGTAATAGTTAGTATTAATAGCCTTAGCATTATTATTATTAAAGTTAATATTATAATCGGTCGCGACGTGATCCTCGTTCGAGGACTCGCGACCGCCTACGAATTTATTGCTTTTGAATACCCCGGCTTCCTTGGGAGCATCCAATTGGAACAATATCCTGTAAATATCAGTCGCGCTTTGAAGGAGGCAGGGTTCTTTTTTTTCGTTTCTCTCTGTTAGTTAGGCGGTTGTTCGTTCTCGTTGCAAGATCTGTGCAGCAGCGTGCATGGTGCGCGTCGTTTCTCTCGTCCCCCGTGGATACTATCACAATGCGTACAATTATCGTAATCTATATGCGTCGTAGGGTAAGATTCGTTTAAGGTTCGCTTTATTGTATCACATCCGTCCCAGAAGCGCCGTGGTTTCGCGAGAAATTCGGCCGGTCCTTTATCATTGGAAGCACAATTTCTCGATTCGAATCTCGAATCGCGTTTTACGCGCGGAACAAGCACAAATCTCGAGGTTGCCTTCAAACGCTATTTACAAGCTACGCGGTATCGTACGATACGAGATCGGCGGATTAGCCGCCGATTAGTACGTATCATCGAATAGTAGGCACGTCGATCAACGAAATTTCGCGAACGATACGTATTGTCCGCCTACCGTACCTATTTGCGTACACAGTTTGGCGTTTGGTGTATGGGACATCGAGAACGAACCGCGGTTCCGAATTTTACGATTGCATCGTTTCTAACAGTAAGATTAATTTCGCGTTCGCGGTCCAAGTTTCGATGATCGACGTTCCAAGCTGACAAGCTGTTCCAAGTAAGTAGGTACGCGCATAGGTCATTAAATGATTCTCGATCGCTGCTCAATTCGGCGATCCGAACGAAGCCCGAGGATGACGGGCTCGCTTAAAGTATAATCTTACTATCATTTCATCGTTACTCGCCTTGGCCGTAAAGCGTTTCCAATCGTCGGATCGTCGTTCGATACCGCTTCGTCCTAATTCGTTCGTTCTTCCTTTATTCCGTAATTGACACACTGTCCGGTCCGTACTCGTTGGAACGCACAAATACACGCTAACGAATAATTTTACCGATGTACATGTATAGGCACTTTTTATCTTCGTTCTCCTTCTTTCTCACTTCTCGCATCCATCCATCTATCTCTCTCGCTCGCTTTCATCCGCATTCCAAAACGATCGATCGTGTGCTGTGTCTAACAAATTTTTTTTTATGCTCGTCCTCGTTCCGACGAGGCATGCGGAGCATAGGCATGTTTCATTGCTGATTGCTCGTTCCTCGAAATTAAGAACGCCGTGGAATCGGAAGCGAATCGCAAACGCTTCTTGATCGACGTTTTCGCACGTGTGTTACAGGTGCTGGTGGCGGACGAGATGGAAATGGAAAGGCTCCACGCATCCTCGGGTTTCCGTTTCGATCGAGCTCTTCCCTCGCTCGGTGAGTAAAAAGACACCCTATTACGCGGTAAACAAATGAGTGAGATGTCGTATAAACGCGGATCGATCGGTCTCGTTCGACCCCTTTCGGGTTTTTCGCAATGCGCGAAAATCGATCGAAAATGTGCGCGAACGGCATCGAAAGTGGTGAGCGAAGATGTTCACGTATCCTTTGTACTTATACATATATCACTGCTATCAGCGGTTAACTCGCTAACGATCGTTAATTAAGCTAAACGAGGCGAACTTTACGAAAGTTATTGACTCGTTATTGACTCGTTTTTCATTTTTGAGCAATACCGATCGATCGGCCGCGCGTATTTTCGCTCGTTTCGCCGTCCGGTGTCGCGAGCCATGAACGCGATCGCTGTGTGGAGTAGAATGTACGTGGAACGTTTCGTTTTCAACTTAAATCAACTTCGTTAACGTTTAACGCGGTGTTCGTGCATTTGTACATATCGATTAATAACTGCAATTGAATTATTCTACGTTCGCGAGAGTACCTATTATTGCTTTTTCGAGTCGACTGGTCGAAGTCGCCGCAGACGCGCGAGCCGCGTATCCTTCGTTTTATTCCGTTTTTAATTCCTCGGTAAAATTAGGCTTGAGAGCGCGCGTCCGAATGGTCCAGTCGTTTTAATTTTAAAAAACATGGCGTTTTATGTTTCCGTATAGTAAATACATATTATTGACACGTGTTCCTTATTCCCTTATCGCGAGTATAACATCGAACATTTAATACATGTTGCTTTTTTTATTTTTTAATTAATCTTCGTGCTCCGCGTACATTAAACATCGACGACACGAATACGGTTACTCGAATAGCCGTTTAACTCTATTCTCTTAGTTATTGCTATGAAATCGCGTGCGACTCTTCCCGTTCTCTATTCGTCCGTGGAAGATTTGCACGTGCAACTCTGTCCACCGCGCGGCTTTTTCGTTCTTCCTTCGTTTCTCAATTAAATTGGAAATGTCGAGACGACAAATAAAATGCGTTGAACGCGATCACCCGTCAGGTTCCCTTCTCTCGTTTAACCGATTCGTCGTTGGGCTTATGCGTCCCATCGGCGACGCTGGAAACTGCGATTAGAAATGTGTGTTGGGAACAAAGTGGAAAAATCGTTCGGGTCGAACTCGGGCAAATACCGGGTCGAGAGTCGAGACAGATTTTCTGTCGCGTCGTCCGAGAAAAGCAACGATCGTCGATCGATCGTGGAAAGCGGCAAACAAACGTCGGTACGGTCGAATAGATGATGATCAGGTGGAGAATGTTGACGCCGATATTTATCGAATATTGGCCCGACTGGGAACCCAGTTCTCGCCAGCATAATTATTACTTATACTTTATAGTGTACCACGTCCCGTGAAACTCTTATAAATATTGCTACGCGCTTTAAAATTTCCGCCCGGTTTCGACTCTTTTCTTCTCTATTCTTTAACCCTACTTCTCTCTCTTTCTCTCTCTTTTAATGTCGTCTCTACGCGCGGCTCTTATTTACACTAACCGCTATGGAACACGGAGAAAGGGAAACCAAAGGGAAACGGATGCGATCGATTGAACGACGGATAAAATGCCGATAATAATAATTATCGATGGTCGAATCCGTAATCTGGGGAAGATTAGAAGCGAGCTTTGTTCGACTCTCTATAACGCGGGGATACATGCTCGGTATTGCCGTGTAGGTACTTACGTAGTAGGCAATATACGTGACTACGCCCTATGTGTACCTACGTACCCATGTATATGTATAGCGTTTATGCATCAAAAGTGTGCGTGAGCGATCGAGGTTCGTCGTCGACACGACAAACTTGATCTTCGTTGCATTTATCTATCTCTCTTTCCCTCTCTCTCTCTCTCATTCATTCGCACGCTCATTCATTCTCGCTCTCTTCGAATATAAAATAGAATCTGTTTTATTTTTTATTCTTTCCTCGTACGCTTCTTCGCTTTTAACCGTACCGGGTGGTTTCGATCTTCACCCAATTTCCTCTTCCCCCTCGTCTTCTCCTCGCTTAGGCTAATTATCGTGAGTGAGACGACTAACGAACGGTTAAAAAATTATCAAGGCTCTCGTTGGAAGGATTACAAAACGTGACGCGACGCGCCACCCCTAAATATCTACTACGAAGCGAACGATACTGCGTTCCGATCGCTCTCGTTCGATCGCCGGTTCCGGCGGAACGAATCCAGCGAATAATTATGTTCCCACGGTGTGTCAGTCTAAAGAAGACGATCGATGCTTGGTTGAAACAGCTCGTTCGAACATTTAAATCGAAAATGATTTGTACCGTGGTGCATCTCAGAGAAAGTGCGATGCACGCGGAATTAGATTCAGAACGTTTAGGCGAAATTGGTCGGAAGGGCGACCGCGCGAAAGTTTACGTCGAGTCGAGACAAAGTTTCGATGGATCGATATCGGAAGAATAAACCAGGATTTAGATTTCGAGATTCGCCGATCGTTCGATCGACAGGTGATTGAGGACTCGTAGAAGTCGCGGTAGAGTTAGAGGGAGACAAGAAATAGACGCGAAGAAGAATCTCGGTAATGCGAAGGGTGAGCAACGTTCGCGATCGCTCGCGAACGCTCGAGACAGGGGTTGCGGAAGTAGGGCCGAGTCGGAAAGGAGTCAGTTTCTTCTGAGAACAGCGAAATGCGTGTAAATACGCAATACGCGTACGGAGATGACGACTGATGCAGGAGATAGAAGATAGCGTAAGACAGTTAACGCGCCTCGGGCTAATTATTCACATCGCGTTTTGGAACGAACGAGTCGATGTTTCGGTTCGGTAATTCGTTCGCGTTTCCAATGGTGATGAACGCGTGTGGTCGAGAAGATACCGACAACGCCTAGCTCGAGCGCGAACCAACCGTTAAAAGCGAGGAGTCGTTAGCGGAGTCAGCGAGCACGAAGGACGGCGCGCTTCATTCCGCTGTTGGCTTAAGATTAGAGTTAGAGTATCGGAGAAAGATTAAACTATGCATAGATATACGTGGTAATTAGAAATTACAGAGAATTACACGATGGAGATGCGATTACGTTAGGTGCGTGGCTTCGTGCGTACTTGCGTAAGCGTTCGAGCTTAGATTTAACTGCTACCTTTAGGAAACGTTTACGCGTGTATACGTGTATAGAAGATTTGCGTGTAAATGTACAGATATATAAGTATACGTAAGTACGTGCGCGTAGAATGCATCGTTCAAGCTTGAGACGTACGTACGTACGTACGTTTGTTATTTTCTTTTATTGCGAACGTCCGAGACGACCAAATTACTTTTTGTCTCAGAGCGAAAATGGCCTCTATCAGATCATATAATACCTACCAATTTTATTGCAAATTCGTTGAATCGGTTTTTCGTTCCTTCCTGCCTTTCGAACCTAGCGCAACCAGTGCACGACACGTTCTTCTTCGTTCTCGCGAATATTGCACGCGTGTTTTATTACTCGAATCTAATTCTCGCGAAATCGATACCAATCTTATGAAAAATGATAGTCGTAACGATAACGGTACAACGAGATGAATCAATCGAAGGATAAATAAGAAAACGCAAGATGTTAATAATATAATAATGTAATAAATATAATAAATAGCTGTGACAATACGATAAATAAGAATAATGCCGCTAATAATGATAATAATAATAGCGATAATAATAATACTGGTAACAACTCGGGAAAACTGAACGCTATGCGTTACGTGATGGAGGACGATCACCGGGTGGTCGAGAATCATTATCCGGAATCTGCGTCGAAAACGAAGAGGAGGAATCGTTCCAAGTCTTCATCCGTTTTATACGTACGTGACAAAAGGTGCGCTTCGTTCTTCCTCTCTTTCCGAGGTGTAGATTTTTACCCTCTCTTACCCGAACCGACCAGCTAGTTTTAGTTTCGTTTTAATACTCGTCGATTAATTAATATTGCTTAAGGTATTATTGCTCTACGTTCGTACGCGATACGCGACAATCGTGGTAGCTCGCAGATGTACGAATAAAACTCGCGAGAAATAGACTAGAAGATAGAAAAGCTTTGCCGTCCTCGATCCAACGAAATGGAACGTGTCTTCATTCTTCGATGTTTCTCTCTTTATCTCGCGAGTACTTCTTTTGCCGTTTTTGTTCGTTCGCGTAATCTTTAGCGACAAGGCTATTGGCTACTCCGCAGGTCGGCAATAATTATTAGAAAATGGGTATCTCGTTGTAAATGCGTCCGGCCGATCCACGCTCTTCTCTCTTCTCTCGCGATCCTGTTCTCGTTTCTTCCCATTCGGAATTCCGTCGCCTTCGAAGGAAAAGTGGATCGAACGAATGCGCTGGGGCCGAATTCTCGGTTCGATCAGAGTCGGTCGGATTTCGCTGCGTTATCTCTCTTCATCTCTCTCTCTCTCTTTTTTTCTCTCCCTTTTCGTTGTCTCGAAAAATTGCAATGTTTATCCATAATTTCGATGTATCTATAACGTACAAGCTACGTCGCTACCTCGGAGCGGAAGTCGTTGTTCGTCGTACACAGGTATACGCTTAAAAAAGAATATTTAACGCTAGATTGGTGTTTCACTCGTTGCGCGAAGCTTGCTTAAAAATTATTACAAACTAATCGAGCCTAGTGGAAGGCAAGTGCGTGATGGTACGCGTAGATCGTTTCCAGGTCCGAACGGAACGATGCTAATTATTGCTCCTCCCCGACGATGAAAGAAAGCTTTCGTCACAAAATCCGACCGGTGTCTTGTTTTTTTTTTTTAAAAAAAACGACGGACGACAAAAGTTCGAAGAGCGTGGATTTCGGAACGACCGCGAAGCAAATCATAATTTTCCATCGCATTGAACTTCGATGTTCGCCTCTATACACATATGCGTAATTATAATTATATAATTCGTTGTGTCGAAACATTGCTTTTTGACCGTTACGCGTCGTCGTTATTACTTTTTTTCTTATTCATTACGTATTGCTTCTATAAAATATCTGTGTATAACGTTGTTACGCATCTATTACACGGCATCTGCTCTCTAATGATAAATAATACGGTTCTCTTAGGTATCTCCGTGTACGTTTCGTTTACGCGGGGCCAGCATCCCGTTCGTTTCCGTCGTTAAGCTCGTCGAGACGCATTCGACGTTTCGTCGCTACACGATGTCCCGCGAGCGTCCCAACGATTAAGGATGGAAAGGAGCGCGTTCTCGTATCATCTTTGCTTCGCATCGGATCCGTTGCGTATAACCGATGGCGTGGCGCCGCTCCGGCGGAATTGAAAACGCGACGATCGATGTTCCGCACGCGTAAGTACCGAACACCGCAGCGCGTGGTTGACGACCCTTCTCAAACGAGAACTGTCGAGGGTAAGAAAAAATAATTTGGCGAAGAACGATCCAGGAGGTTGGGGAGATTTCTGCGAATCGTCGTCGCTCGTAGGAACGATTCAGGCAAATTTCTCGCGTTGCGACGTTCCGTTTCGGTTATACGCAACGCATTTCTTTCTTTTTCGTCGAACGAACGTCCCGATCGGCACGGATCTGGATCGACCTGATCTTCGAAGGATTCGTCGAAGCGAGACGAAACGATGGTCGCGGTCGATATCTCGGAACGATTCCCTGCGAGACTAGATCTCTCTAATTCTAATCCTAACGCGAATCGATGGTCTCGCGGGAGAAAAGAAGGGGAGAAATCGAGAATCGGCCGGAAACGTCGCCGGCTTGCGGTCGATTCGATTCCAACGCCCTTCGATCGTTTCATCCTCGCCATGGTCGTCGGGTTTCCGCGCGCACCCTCTTCGTGTCTATACTACGTACTGCACGCTTGTAGGTGTGTGTATGTGTACGTGTACGTGTATGTCTTCTTCCGATCCCATCGAGGAGATCTCTCCCTTATACTTTAATTCGTTTAGGCAGCTAATAAGTATCAATAAATAGTGTGTCTCCGTAACGAGCTCGCGACTAGAATCGTACGCGCTAGTGAACGTACTATGTGTATATATATATACATATATATATATATTTAAATATATATATATATAATAATATAATATATAATATAATAATATATAATATCGTAATGTATTCGGTATAATCGACTAGAGACTAGAGTGACTAGATTGCAGTGTGGACGTCACCGTTCGACGCGTTTCATACTCTTCCGTCGTTAGTATTTCCTTTCGTTCCCTCTACTCTCTACTCTTATTTCATCGTTCAACGTCGTTCCCACGACGTTTCGCTCTTTTCTCACTTTTCTTCGTTTTAAAGACTTAACATTATTGGACGTTTTTATCAATGTTAGACGTTATTAAAGAAACCGACTCTCTCGCTCGTTCACTCGCTCGCATCTCTGTCGCTAAAACCACCGCCTCCGGTCGGTTACTTCTCTCTAGCGTTCGATCCTCCTCGCGTTTCGTCTACTGGCACTTTTCTACTTAAAACCTACGGCAAACCTTGAATCGCGTTCGTCCCGGGAACGTTGGCTAACCACCGGGCGTAGCTGCGAACGACTGCTGCTAGCTCCGCGGAGGTTCGAGGGCGTCGAGACGCCTGGTCGTGATCTTCTCCTCGTCGAAGCGCTGCTACAAGCCGCGATCGTTGCTCTGCTGCTGTTGCGTCGTCGTCCCGTTGCTCGCGGCACCCGTTTGCTGTTGCGGCGGCAGCTCGTCGTCCCGCAGACAGGCCGATTCCAAGTGTTTGTTCAAGTAAGACTTGAGGGCGAAGGTCTTGTGACACCTCGAGCACTCGTAGTTCTTGTCCGCGGAGTGAGTCTGCATGTGCGCGCGGAGGTTCGACCGATCGGCGAACGCTTTCCCGCAGTGCGCGCACCCGTACGGTTTCTCCCCGGTGTGACTCCTCAGGTGTCCCTGGAGCAGCCATGGCCTCGAGAACATTTTCCCGCAGACGCCGCAGCTGTGAGCCAGCTTGTGAGTGAGCACGTGCATCGCCAGAGCCGGCATGCTTACGTAAGCTTTGCCGCAGTGGATACACTTCTTCGCCGACTGCGAGTCGAGACTGCGGTGGGTCTGCTTGTGCCGGGACAGGTTCGACGAGGTCGCGTATTGTTTCCCACATTCGGTGCAAGTGAACTTGGGCCTCTCCGGTTGGGTAGCCTCCTTGTCCGGGACCGCGGCGCCGTTCGTGCTCGCGCCGCGACGCTTCGACCGACCGTCCGAGACGAAGAACGCCTCGTACGTGTACGCCACCGTCTTGCTACTGCCGCTACCGCCGTTTCCTCTGTCGAATAAAAGATACGTGATCGGTAACGAGTCGTTTGCGCGATAAGATTCCGTTAACCGCGAAACGAAATAGATAAATAACTCGTTTGACGGAGATAACGCCTTACCCATCCCTCGCAGCGGTGCAATTGGTCGTGTTCGCCTCCGCGGTTGCCGGGGAGTGCGGTTGTGGTGTTTGCTCTTGGTGCTGCAGCAGCTGGGTGTTCTGCGAGCTGGGAACGGGCACCAGTACGGAAACGGGAATGGGTTGGGCGGTCGTGGCCGGTTGCAGCTGCGTCGAGTGCAGCTGTCCGGGCGGCGACGTAGCTGCCGGTGGCGGTGGTAGCGGCGGAGACAGAGTGTGGACGAAGACCGAATGCGTGGGCGCAGCGGGCGACGCGCTCAGATCGAGAATCGCCTGGGCAGCTGACAGGTCCTCCTCCGGGAACGTTCGAATCTCCGAGCTAGGTTGAAGGCTGTACGGTCTGTAGATGTCCTTCTTCTTGGGAGGCAACGAGAGCGCGGTCCCGGTGCTGGTGAAGCACATCGAGAGGCTCTTCCTAGGTGGCAAACTCAGCGTCACTAAGGACGAGGAACTAGAGGACGACGAGGAAGGAGAGGACGAAGCGGATGACGCGGATGAGGATGAAGCGGGTGCGGTGGTCGGATGAGTCGGGGGGTGGATGCCGGATCCGGTCACGACCGCGGCCAGTTCCTGGGGATGACCTACGGTCGGGGGCGGCGGGGACGGCGCTACGGGCCTAGCCAGCTCCGCCGCCGAGCGAAGCGTTGCGTACTTCGGCGGCTCTTCGTGGTTGATCCATGACTCGTGCGTGTAACCTGCAAAATAGTTGTATGTGCCGATTTATCGATCGCAGATGCTTTCGATTAAAAAAATTAAACGCTTGTCGCGAAACGGCGGTCTTTCATCACGGAGGGTCGCGTCATTTTTCGGCTCGAGTGCCAACGTTTACCGCACAGCGTGGATATTCCAGTTCGTGATTCAGACGGAACCGGTACCGTTTCATTTCCTGTTACTAGCACGCGTCAGCTGGTGTCAGCGCGCGCAATCGTTAACGAGAATACGACGAGCGCGAAAATGCGAGAGGGTGATCGTACTCGCGTGGCGCATACGTATCACGTAGCCGTGGAGTACCTATCGCGATATCTGTTGCGTGCACAACGAAAGACACCCCTTCTCAACGCGTGGACTCGTTTCCGCTTCCGTTTCCGGTCGAATAATAATTTTTTCGTACGCTGCGTCGTCTACTTCACTCGTCGTGCTTTCGATTTTTGAAGCTCGTACGTCCTAAAGTACTCTACTTGCTTCAATGGAAAGACGTTAAACTTTCGATGAGGAACGTGAAAGAGATGCGGAATGAATAAGTTATAAGGTGCTCATCCTTTGAACGCGCATCGCATTTATCAATAATTCAACTTATCTTAACCCATTAGCGAAGGCAATCGATATCCCGTTAAATCCTCGTGTATACTCGATCTGGAAATATTACTCGACTCGTTCGACACGGATCACGTCAATAGTCCATCGCGTATCGCGACGGTGCGGTCTTAAAAATCGAGAAACGCGGACCCTTCGTCGATCCGCAGCTGACCGGTACGTTGGGACGTCGGAGAAGGGTTAAACGTTAAACCCTAGGTTTTTATCGTCGGTGTCCACGCGACAGGACACGCGACGGTTAGCCTTCGATGGCTGGTTACTGGCTTCCAGCAACCGGACGCGATCGATACGCCCGCTGCGACAATGTAACGCGACGTTCGCATTGTTGCGAACCGAGAACGAAACACACACACGCGGACGCGTGCACACGATCTTCTCTGTTATCTGTTTCCTACTGATACTTTTATCGTTCTTCCGTATTTTCCTACTTCGACCGACACGTGTCGTCCATCTCGCGCTCAGTTTCGATTTCGTTTCGTCATGAGAACGCTGTTCCGTCGGCCATCCCGTGTCGCAAATCTGTCTTAAGTACAATGCAATTCGCGTTTACTCGAACACGAGTCATAAACGCACGAGACAGGTTCAACGACTTTATGATGGAGCGACACGAGCTGTGTGACTTATGCGAAATTACAGGAGATCGATTTTAGATTCTGGACTATGCATATCTCGAAATTTCGCTTCGGATCAACGCGGAGTTTCACCCTACGTCCGAACGAATTTGAATTTAGCGAATCGGCAAGAGTTCTGAGTCTCGCGAAGACTATAGGGATTACGGACAAAGAGGAGGGTAGAAGGTGGAAGGACGCGTGACAGCAATAAATCAGAAAACTGTGGCCGACGATCGATCAACTGGCGCGCATCTATTATTGGCTGAAATAAAAGGAAGTCGACACGCACGAAAGAATGGGAAAGGAAGAAGGGTGCAAGGGAGAAAAAGAGAGAGAAAGGAGCCGTCGCGTCTGAAAATGCATTTCATCAACGGCGATGAGAGAGAAAGAGAAGGAGAATGAGAGAGAGAGAGAGGAGGGACGGCAGTAGAGGGTGAGCGTCGGGGGTGAAGGAGAGGCAGGAGCGAGGGTGAGAATCAATAATGTCGAATGAACGCTCCGCACGCTCCCACGAGTCTGTTGATTCTAGCCTTTGAAAGGGCGACGTAAGGCCTTTCGCTCGTTGTTATTCGCGAATCGTTTCCAACATCGAGCGACGAAGAGAATCGTCAAAATTCTTTTCAGCGACAACGCATATCCGCGAATCGCGCTTATCGGTCGTTCGAAAATTGTACGACGATCCGTTGCAAACATATCGGATCGCGATCTCCCGGCGTAGGTGGAAAATTTGAGATCGCTGCGAAAAGCACTGCGACGAGAAACGCGATGTATCGCGTTTGCGCAACGGCGACGCGAGCCGCAGTGAGTGCCGAGCGATAATGAACCTGGCAATTAGCGTGGCGCGTGTCCGTTTCGTCGCTCTCGAAACCTCCTCACGATTTTCCGGAATATCCTTCTCTCGCTCGACCTTCTCCGCGAACTTCTTTCGCTGACTCGCAATCGTTAAACGAGGATAAGGACGAGACAGCGAATCTCTTGTTCAAACATTTGTAGCTCTTTGGTCAGAGTCTGCAGATAAATAATTGGACATGGTAAAAAAGTTACGACGTCCGTGGGAAGAGGCGTTGAATACACGACCGCGAAGAAACCGTGGCTCGTTATTCGTAGCTCCTCGAACAAAGTCGCTGTGAGGAGAAGCCGTTCAATCGATGCGACAGAGCCGTTTTTACGTAGGCGCGGACATATTTTCGACCTGAATCCCGATAGGCCAAGATCGCGGACGCAAAATCGAACGGAGATAAAATTGTTTAAATCGAGCGATCCGTCACGCGACCGCGCGATCACCTATTTAAGAAAATTACTTCCTCGTGTACATTTGAAGTCGAGCATTCGTATAAGCGACGTTCAAAGATACACGAATCGTAGTGTGCATGCATGAAAACATAAAATCTTCTTTATCGGGTCGCACGTATTTAAGTACGTTCGACGAGAACACCGCAGTCGAGATACACGCGTTACGTAACGCTGTGCGCCATGTTAAAGACCGAGCATCAGGACGTCATAATCGATAGCGGAATTCAATTAACAGCTGCTTTAGCGTGAAATTTTTCGCGGGCGACGTGCTCACACCGACAACGCGATTACCCGCAAACCTTTCGCCTTACGTAACGGAGAACGGTCAAGAAATCAAATCCAACGAATCGGATCGCTTTTCTATCGTTAGAAGCGATTACCATTTCTGCACCGATTCTATCGCTCGATAGAAATCTTTGCCATCGTGAAAACAGCGAATTATCCCGGGGAGTTTGAACCCCGTTTCATATAAATAATTATCGTTTCGCGAAAATCGCTGATCATAAACATCGTTCGCAACGAGGAAGAAACATTTTGCTCGCGCGCGCGTTGACGCGAGTCGAGAGGTAGTCAACTTGTGGAATGCATTCAACACGTACTCCGACCGCGATTGCCGCTGATTCTTCGACGCTAACGAATCCATGGACGACACCCCATGCGCGAATACTTTTTCAAATGATCGCAAGGCGCGTCGCGCGGACGCTGACGAAATTGGAAAACCGTGCAACAGTTTTGGCCTCGTGGATTCGACTAAGTACCGCGTCCCCATTTATCGTCGCACCGAGAAAAACCGGAAAAACGGAGGAAAGCAAGAGCGAGTGGTTTCGGAAAAGAGAGAAGAAAACCGTGTCGAACTGTTTGCTCGTAAAAGAAACGCGACCCAAATGAGGAAGGAAATGAGAGCGGATAGACGCTAGAAACGTTCGTCCCCTTTCGCTCGAAAAGATTGACACAAAAACGCGCGAGTCTAGTCGTCGGTTAATCGAGAGGAGTGGGTGCCCTCGTGTTTCACGTTATCGGGTGTCGCGGCAAAGTACCGCAATTTCTCTATAGCCTACAGTCTGCGAGTCTATAGCGTAATCGCGATCCGGCCAATCGAGCCAATCCGCGGGTGTGTCACTTCTGCGTGGCTCGACGCATGGCCGAGCTCCGATCTTTCTCGGCTCGAGGGGAGGCCATGGGTCTGCTAGATTCGAATCTAAATCGGAATCCGAGGCGAACGTTGGGCGTGGCACGAGAGGCATCCCCGTCCACATGTACGGCAAGTACAGAGAGGGAACGCACGAGCATTCTCGCTACGGGTGCACGGCGTTCCGCGAGATTCCCTTCAACGATGGACACGTGGAATTCCGCGTTTGCATCGTCGATTCTCGACGTCGCTCGACGTGCATCGCACAAACCTATTCTCCGTTCGCATCGTTCGATGCGTTCGTCGAGGACGAGAAGGGAAAGGAACTCACCGTGATAGTAGAGAGCCCCGGAGGCGTTAAGCGGGGGTGGACTGGGTGCAGTGGCACCGGCGGTCGGGCTGTGGGGACCCCAACAGGTCTGTTGATGATCGACCTGTCTGGAGTCCGTGTCCCCGACCACGTCGATCTCCTCGTCCTCGGGCTCGTGCCTGTGCTGCCTCTTTTCCAGAGACGCGGAGGTGGTCTGTCGCATCTCTTGCTCCTGTAGAATCGCCGAGGAGTCGCTCTGTTCTTCCTGGGGATCGTCGACGCGATCCGGCCACGGGTAGGCCTTCCACTTCTTGGCCATGAGGCACCGCGGCATGTTGATCACGGCCGAGTGATCTTTCGATCACTCAACAACGGCAACGACGACGACGCGACGACGACGATCCCGAAACGGTGTCGGTATCGGTATCGTCGAGAAAAACCTTCGCGCCACCCTCGCCTTCGCTAACCGCACCAAACGCACCACCACTGTACCGACAACGATCGACTAACGGCAGCGCGACGCCACTATCGCCGTCGACGTCGACGCCAACGCCGACACCGCGCTCCGTGCTCGTCCACCGTGCAGCAGTGGGGTGGCCGTCGATGTCTCGTCGTCGTCGTCGCCGCCGTCGTCCGTCGTCGCTCGGCGTTTTTCTCTTGTCGTCGAGCTCGGCCCGGACGAAGACAACGATGTTCCTCGAGTCCGACGGTTGCCGCTGTTTCTTCCACTTTTTCTTCCTTCCTTGCTCGCGTAGAGGAGCGATCTGCGACCTCGTCATCGGCACGGCGAGGGCAGCTCCTTCGGAGGATGCACCGCGACCATACCAGCACGCACTTTTCGCACTTTTCGCCCCTTTCGTTCGTCGGCTCGAGACGTTTCCTGGGTCAGGACGACGACGACAACCACCACCACCACCACCACCACCGATGCCAGCTACTGTTAACGGTCGTTCGCCTCTGTTCGCGATCTCTTTGGCTTCGATGCGCGCCTCCCTTTGATTACCGCGCGACTGATCGTCTTCGTACGATTAATTTCCAGCGGACCGACCGACCGACTGACCGACCGTCCGTCCTTGCGTATCCTCGTGTATCCGTCTCTCCGTCCGTCCGTCTGTCTGTCCGTCTGTCCGTCAGTCCGTCCGTCCCGATGCTCTCTCGGTCGCTCCCTGTCGCGGCTCTCGCCAGTGACAGGGGGTTCCCTCGAATACGATCGCAACGACGGGGTGCGACTGTTTGGTGGGTGCCGTCGGTGGCGCTGCTTTCATCCGCCCGACCGTCTATCCCCCACTTCCTCGTCGCGTTCTCTCTCTCGTTCTACCCTCGAACGGGACCACCGACACCCCCTGCGTCCCTCCGTTGCGGCGGGATATCGCTGCCGATGCTCCCGAACCGAGGGACGGCTGCGCAACCCCTCGATTCCTGCAGGCTTCTCGCGTGTGTGCGTACTCGCTGACAAGTGTGCACCAACACGTTCGCGCGCGTACATCGACATTGGCGCGGAAGCCGTTTCGCCGTGTCGTCCCAGCGGAACGCTACGTACGACCAACGTACGTACGTTGAACAGTGGAATGAGTGGAATCAAAGGAGAAGGGCTACAATTTAAAAAGCGCGCAATGATTCGACAACTCAGCCTTCCCCCATTGATTCCAATCAGCATCGATTAAACGTCTTGAGATTCCACTCAGTCATTGCTTGGTAATCTTTGTAACAAAGTAAATTGTACTTTCGACCTAGCCAAATCAGATTCTTCAACGATACGATTTACCGCGTTGTATGTTTCGCCGAGAAAAGAAACTCGGCCTCGGGCGTCGACAAAAAGAGAACGATACCTCTGCGGAGAGTATCGAATTAATTCTCGTTCGATCGAGACTTAATTTCCTCCGCGCGGCCCGTAAATCCATCCGAGAGCGGAAGCTCGTTTAAATCCAGACCGAGCGTCGGTCTGGAGGTTAGCGAACCCTTGGTAAAAAAAAAAAGAAATCGAGCCCCGTCGAAACTGTTCGCGAGGGACGCGAGGTGTGCAAGCGGTACCCGTGTCGAATGTAGACATCGACGAGGGATAGAACGGAAAGAGAGAGAGAGAGAGAGAGAAGGAGATCGAAATAGAGTAGAGTAGCGGAAGAGAGAACAGCTGGCCGGGCAGCGTCACCGCCGAGAGCGTGTAAACTCCAAAGGGGATGGTCCGACCAACGACGATTCCTATGGAAGACTGGCTGCATAACGGTGACGCCAGGACGCGAACTTGTTGGTAGTCAGGACCGAGGAAAGAGAAAGAGAAGGAGAAGGAGGTGGTAAATTGGGTGGCACGCGTCGGGGTGAGATCTCCGAGGGTGCAGCTCCTTCTCCGTCCCGCGAAACGGGTAAAATCGAGGACGGAGAAGCGAAAGGAGAAAGACGAAGGTCTTGGCAGCAGCGACAGCGAGGGTAGAATAGAACGCAGAGTAGGGGCGCCGCGCGTGCGTCGCGTGTCGGCATCGACCCACGGACTGCTATGCAGGGTGCAGGCGCAGGCAACACCTGGTTGCGACCCACGTGCCGCGTTAGGGTGGCACCAGCCATCCCTATCGAATATCGCGTTGCCCTTTCCGTCCCGTCCTATCCTATCTGCTACTGACCCACGCCAACGCCGCTCCGCGCCTCCGTGCTCTTTCGCCCGCTGCCTGAAGGGAAAACAGGATCCGCGATTTCGATAACAGGTTCCCAAACGAGAATCCAACGGCTGTGTCTCCTTCCAACGATAAGATCGAATCGCAAGAACGGAGAACGACGTTCTTCCCGCGGTCAATTCTGAGTCATTGTAACGAACTCGAAACAAACGTTCCCGCGTTCGAACTTGTATCGTTGTTCGTATACAGGATACGCGTGGATACGCGCGAACGTATCGCACCGCGTGTCCTATTTACCGTGTATCGGCACGGCGTACAAACTATGCTACCGTCCTTGCGCCTCGTCGTCGCGTCGCGAATAATCGTGCCATGTGCCGTACGACGTACGACGAAACTGTGTCGCAACAGCTGATGCATCTCGTCTCGCGGCATCGATCGTTGAACTTTATAAGGGAACTTTCGACGAGTCGTGAAACAAGGTGCTTCTGTTTTCAATTTCTAAGGAACGTCTTTCCGATCCTATTCGTTTCATCGTTCCCCCGAAAAAGCAACTCCAGTCGATCCCGTCGAGTGTTGCGTAACGGGATCGATCGGAGCTATCCGATATCCTGAACTCGTCCCGAACGAAAACTGCTTTTGTAATCGAAATCCTAGCTCTTGGTAATAGAGTACAGGGCGACGATCTCCATCGGCGTCGATGACGAAGCTTTTTTCAATCTCAGAAGTCCGGACAGAGATCGAACGATTTTTGAGACGCGTGCGCGACCTAAAAAATGTAGACCGATCTCGGAACATCGGGAACGTGGGTCGGAGGCGTTCGCGAATCGTCTCCCACGGTACCGAGAACGTTTTGCCAACGAGGAACGAAGTCGGAGCCAAAAGGGCAAAGTGCCAGCGCTGCCAACGGGAATTCTCGCGTAAGAAGGATCGGATAAACTTTTCTCTTATACGCGCACCTTTGCCTATCTGCTCCAGTATTCTACGTGCACGTATTCCTAACTACGAAATTCATTTCCATCCCTCGAGAATCGATCGACCTTCGATGTCGAAAAAACTAAACGACGCGGACCATCCACGGGATACATCTCAAAAACATTCGTTCCGTAAACGAGAATAACGAGAAGCCGGGAAAGGATGAAAATGGGAGAACGTCGATCCGGCTGGATCCCCTGGCCACCGTGCCGAGAATCGTAAATCTGTCCAGTACCGCGATAAAACGTCAGCAGCGCATTCCTACGTATCGTTTCGGGATTCCCCTACCGTTCGCAACAGTTGGCACGCACTCGCACTCGTGGAACGATGGCAAACGACGACGGGGATGCTAGCATCCCCTGCGCGCGTATGCGCGATACGAGCTCAGCCCGTTTGCCAGAGATAATTTTATTCCGAGGCTGCGATAATCCGTAACGTCGAGCATAAATCTTTACGGTTCCGCGCGAAACCAAGTATCCATCTTCCTACTCTCCCGACCTTTTTATCTCTCGCGGAACCGTAGACGTAAACGCGCACGCTTGCAGCGGAAAAACAACGGAAAACTAAATCTTTCGCGTTACAGATATTTTCGAATCGTGGATGGCTCTCTGTTCTCGTCTTCCTTTGTCCCCATTTATCGACGGGACGAAATAAAGGAGAGGGAGGAAGCCTGTTAATTTATTTCTTTCCCCTTCTCGATTAGACTTCCGCGATCGATCCACCGATCGATGGTTCAAACTTCGAAATAAAGTAAAATACACATTAAGGGTCGCAGTAGCGTTTCGAAGGTAAACTTGTTCGCAGACGACAAGAGTATTTGCAACTTTCGTTTGAAATACATTTCGTTGTCCCCAACGTTTAACGAGTCATTTGCAATAAATCGAAATCGACATAAAGGAAATTGACGGTGATTCCTTGTTTCGACGACAAAGCAAGCAGGTCGGTCGCAGGCAAGCAGTTTCGAGAAACCGACGGGAAAGGGAAGGGTGGAGAGAGGAAGGAAAAATGGAGTCACCGGCGGTGCGGAGAGAGAAAGCGGATAGTCAATTACGGGAGAGCACGCGCGTTTCGTACGCTCGTTGGCTGCTGCCCTTTGATCCCTTTGCGCGAGCGAGACCAGAGGAGGAGGTAACGGGTCAGATTTGCGATTGAAACGAGGTCTTTGCCGGAAACCGATGCCGCCCGATCGATCTTCCCCGTTTCCCTTCGACCAAATGGACTTCTTTCGACGAAGCGATATCTTTCGTTTCGAGTTCGACTAGTACCGAGTTTCAGTAGTACAAGTCGATTGTTGGTCGGACGACGCGCTGCGATTTTCGTCGCTGACGCAACGCCATAACTAACGTACGTAACGCGCGCGTTGTCCTCGACAGACAAGTTCAACGAAATTAACTGAAATGACAGGAAACGCTGGTATGAAAGCAGCGTGGCGACTTAATTACGAGCACGCTGACCTTAAAGCGAAAAGCGAGCAAACGGGAATAAGTAAATACCACTTAACGTCGAGAAAGCAACGAAAACAACGGATGCGGTTTAGCAAAGGAGCCCGGATGCGAGTAACCGTGCGAATTACGGATACCGGCCGGGATAATTCGAGTAAACGACAACGGGAGAAACGTAAATATGTCGCTCGCGTAGTATCGACTAACGCGTACGCGTTTAAACGGATTTGCTAGATTTATCGTCCCTATCCACGATTTAAACGGATCCCAGGATCCCGAATCCGCGTGGAAACTCGATGCGAGAATAACGTTCGGCCGCGTGCGAGATTAATAAATTCCACCCGGGGGAGTCTCCTCCCGTTCGTCGATACCGTGCCCTGCCCTCGTGGGCGTAAATCCTTTCTACGACGCGACCTTTTCGTTTCTACGCTTACACCAATACCGTTCGAGAAATAAACGTGTACGCGTGCTTCTCTAAAGAAAAACGATCTCGAGAATCCTGTCGCTGCCCGTTCACCCTAAACCGATTCCTTTCGCGTCGTAAAGAACGTGCTGCGAATAATTTACGAGCCACCGTCCGTCCGATCGTCCGGTCTGTTTCATAGCTAGCTAAGACAGCGACCGATGTGAGTGAGCGAGCAAATGGGGAACTCGAAGCCGATGCGGTGGACCGAAGGGTTCTTTAATTCGACCGAGGGTGGTAAGCGGAGATTTTCGTTTGGACAGGGATGAGACGACGGGGCTGTCTCTGCAATTCCGACGAATTTGCTTAATGGTCAGTAATAATTGCGTTAGCCCGCGCGGTTCGTTTAATTCGAATCCGGAGAACGCTGCTCCATGACGAAAATTAATCGCAATTTGAATGGTTTTCGGTACCCCGGGACGATTATCCATAGAATCAACTAGGAACGAATTCGTTTCCATGTTACTCCATTCGAGCACACGACGGCGATCCTTCGATCGACGATGATCATGGAAACGAGATTCGCATTATTGAAAATTTATCGGTCATAATTGGCGGTGAATCGGTGGGGTATCGCGAAGTCGTTCGAGTCGCATCCACAGGTAGTTGATTTTGTCGGAGTGGCCGCGTTCCCGAGAATCACCGTGGAAGAGCTCCCGAAGAGAGCGGGAGAAAGAGAGAGAGAGAGAGAGAGAGAGGAGGGGGAGAGAGAGGGAGAGCGTGCGGAACAGATGGCAACTAGTGGTTGGGTACGACGAGACGCCGAGGGAGAGTT